ATCTGCACAAGAAGAAGTAAGTATGATTACAACCAACCCAATATACTCAGTAAGTGTTGAGCCTAACCTCGACGAGGTAGTGATAAGGCTAAAACAAGACACCTACTTTATTTACTTGTACAATTAATAATCAAGAGAGATAGCAAGAGAAACAACAAGATAATTAACAAGAGAAATAGCAAGAATAAATACGAGGAACTGTAAAATGATCAACTAAAAAAAATAAACATCGTATTTCTCAATTGTCACAACCAAACCTTTCTCAACAACTCAGATCCAAGAGGTAGAAACAATATCCATAGAACAAACCTAGCCAAGTCTACATATCCGCATAATAAAGGAATAAATACCTGATATCATATCAAATAGCACAGAAACACTCGTCGTGCATATATCACTCGCCATTACCGCACATAAACAATCATCATGAAATATCTCTAGTTATCACAGTACGAAAATACCCGTCCCGGCAATATCTCTTATCCTCACAGCACATAAATACCTGTCGTGCATAACCGCTCATCCTCACAGCATAGAAACACTCGTCATGCAATATCTCATCCTCACCAAATATATGTAAACCAGTACCAAGCGAGGTAAGAATCATAAATAACATTAAGGAGAGTGATTAAGATTTATACATTAGGTGAGAGAACACTTATAACTTTTACACCAATAGGTGAACCAACATTTCAAGAGCTATAATGTCCAGATTTCTCAACAGAGCTTAAACATAGTTACTAACACGTATTTAAATGATCAAGTAGTTTCAAGAACTATTTAAAGATAGAAGAAATAATAAATGAAGCAACCAAGACATGAATAAGGCTAATTCTACCCTCATGCTTTAATTAACCATAGAAAACACATATACGCTCGTCACCATGCATATACGCCGCCCCTACACATTTAGCGCATATCAAATAGACCCAAGTACAATCGAATTCTCTCAAATCAAGGTCAACCAAGATACTTACCTCTTTTTGAAATAAATCAACTCTCCAATACCGTTTTCCCTTTAGAACAAGCCTCCAAACAACTCGAATGTAATCAAATAATACTCAAATAAGTCAAAACAAGCTTAGGAAACCCTCCTAATACTAAAAGGTTTGATCTTTATCATATTTGAAATTAAAAGTCAACAAAAAGCCAATCCGGAGTCACATGGTCGAAATTCGAAATCAAGATCAATTTCCAATTACCCATTCTTCCTCGAGTTCAAATATATTTTTAGTTTTAAGATCCGACTTCAAATTGAGGTCTAAATCTCCAAAATTCACTACCTTAAGTTACTACCCAAAATTTTATTTTCTACTATGTTAAATTCTAGATTTAGTGATAAAAATCTATGAAAAATCATGAAAATAAGTCAAAACTATGTTAAAATTACTAACCTTAGAAGTTAGAAGTTGAAAAGAAAATCCTCTAAAAAAACCCACCTCTTTACGAAGTCTAGGTCTCAAAAAATGGCTATCTTAACCCACCCTTTTTTTA